TATCTGCAAAAACCCATTCATCTCTTGGAGAGGTGATGCGAAAGTCTCCCTTGAAGAGAGCGTGAAGTCCGTAGAGAAAGGGCTCCAGGCTGAGCAGCGAAGAAACATTACAGCTGTTAGTCTTCTGTTCTGTCTGTCGGGTTTTTTTTTTTTTTTTTTTTTTTTAAAGAGTCAAGTGCGTTCAAGACCCTCGAATAATGCAGTGCATTCAGCAGTGCTTCCTATAGGGAACTCATTCATTACTGAGTGAGGTAATGAAGTGGATAAACAGTGGGCAGTTTGAGTCGTCTCACCTGGCAGACATGCTGTGGGAGGCAGTGCCCAGAGCTCTTCTTCCCAGGATACACAAACCAAAGCACAGGTTGACCAGAGGAGAATCTCTTTCACAGGTAACAGGCTACGTCACAAGAAGCACAGTAAAACAATCCATCAGTTTATTTTCATTTGAAAACATATTAAAGAAAAAAACGATTATTTTCATTTGAAAACATATTAAATCATAAAGGAAGTCAGGAATCACGTGGCTGTCGAGGTCCTCACCGTCTGTCGTCTGCTGTTGCAGTACTGGATCCAGTCCAGGTAAATCATACAGAATGAGGAGAGCGTGATGCCAGAAGCCCGGTGGTCGTAGTCCTCGTCAATGTTTGGGTTGAAGGTGGGGTCACTGTCCACGTAGTTGGGTCCAAGACAGGGTCTGAGAGCCTCCTGAACGGCTTCATTAGCCAACCACTCCTCCAGCTTAGAAGATCGGCTCACGTAGTAGATGATGCTCTGCCGGACAGAACACAGCGGAAACAGAAACAGCGCCATCTTTAGTAAACTGGTCCATAAACAAGACTGAGTAACTGAGGCCAATATATGAAATAATTTTGTTTAACTTCTGGTTCAATTCCCTTTCAGTTCAATAAAGATTTGTACAATGAAAAAAAATAAAATATAAACAGCTCAATCATCAAATAGTTTCTGCAAAGAATACAATTATTTTTATTTTCTGACTTCTTACTTTAACGTAGTAAGTGATGAGAATCTTCCGCAGGTCGAACACCTGCAGCATGGAGGCAGCGTTGTTGTCACTGATGCTGTAACCTTCCAGCACGTACTTGGTCGCCGCCACCTCCCAGGCCAGCCAGCGCTGACCGAAGGCAGCGTTGAACGACAGCATGTGAGGCAGGTGACCGGGTTCACAGCAGCAGCAGCCCTCGTCCTCCTCCACCCCCTCAGTGATGGCCTCCACCTCCCTCTGCTGGCAGTAGGTACCTGGGAGGAAAACAGGTCCACAGGAAAAG